ATATTGTAGTAACTCCGGCTATTCAAAAGGAAATTCAAAAAGAGGTTGCAAAACAACTGCAGTCACCCCAATCACTTTCAGCAGCTTTGCAACAAATGTTTCAACAAAAAACTTTGTCAAGTTAAACTGTGGAATGGTACCAGTGTGAAAATTCAAATTGCAATGTTTGGCTATGCTAAACATGCATACTAAAGCGATACAAAAAAAACGCTGAGTTTTATTGCTACAAAAAGTGCCGCTCAGGTGAAAACTCAGCTCAACCTTTAGTACCTCTAAACGCCTCAACATCATCACAAGAATAAAAAATTTTATTTGGTTTGATTGATTTTTTTAATTGTTATTATTGATTGTTTTTTTAATTGTTATTATTGATGGTTTTTTTTTTTTTTTTAATAAAGTGTTGTTTTAATTACACTTATATTTGCGTATTTCATTCTCCCCGAATGTCAGTGTAGAATTGAATAAAACTTTTTTTAATCAAATAAAGTTTCATAAAAAACTTGTTAAAAAGTTGTTAAAATTTTATATATTTTAATATTCTCTACAACTTTAAAAAAAAAAACGAACTATCTTTTTTCCGTAAAAAATTATTAATTAAAATCCTTAACTATTCCATTTGACCCCATTTTACTCTATATCATCATTTAATTTATATGTACAAATTTAATAACGGTACGATGCCAAATGTTTTTTAAACGCTATTTTAAAAAATACAGCACAAATACCTTACTAGATATGCAAAAAATAATTATATTCAAGCTAAAACTGACTTTGAAGGCACTAAGTTTTCTATATTATCTAGAGGCCCCCAATTATGGAGTATAGTAATTAGAAACAATATCAAAACGCTTGCAAACATAAATATTTTTTAAATCAAAACTGAAAGAAATAATTTTAATTTATCAAAACATAAAGGACTTCTCTAGCAGGGTGGATCGATTTTTATAGCAAAAAAAAAAAGTTCAAAAATCAATATTCCTGAGACACGAATCGATGTCTATTAATTATAAGATGAAAGTAAAAAAATATTTTTTGATTTTAATGAGATCTTAAGGTTCCTCTTTGGATTCTAAATCCTTGACGGATCCTAATATTTTTGATTTTTTTTTTCTAAACTAAATCAACCTTGGACTCAAAAAAGCAGAAAAAAATGCTTGTTTTATCAATAATAATTTTATTAAAATAAATTTTTAGTGAAAAAAATATTTGCTAAATTATACCTTAAAACCCCCGTTTTGATGAAGACAGGGGTTTTTTAATGAAAAAAACGACATTTTTTTTCTTAAGTTTTAAATTAAAACAAATATTATATTCAAAATAAGCGTATTATTCTGCTTCTTTTGAGTACCAGGTTGATATAGTTTAGAAGAAAAAATATTTCAACAATATTAGGATCCGTCATAAATTTAGAATCCAAAGAGGAACCTCTAAAATTCATTTATATTAAAAAAAAAAAAAAAGTAAGGCTCTTTTTTCACCAAAAGACATTGATTCGCAGCTCAGGCAAATCAAATTTCAAAATTTTTTAAAATCGATTTACCCTAGAGAATCTGCCGCCGTAGAGAATCTCAAGGGCTATATTTAATTATTGGTCTTGAAAATATATGTATATTTTCATGATCAATAAGATATATTTTCAAGACCAATAAAATATATTTCAAGATATATATCATATTTTCAAGAAAATATATAAGTGTATTTTCATTTTATTTGCAAAGATTTAAAAAATTTCTTATTTTATATTTTCTTATAATACAAAACTAAAATTTTTTTAAATTTTTAATTCTTTTCTAAATTTTATAAATCGGAGTTGAGTGATATTTAGAAAATAAATCGTAATAATAGAAAACTGTTATAATTTTGAATATATTTTTTCGTTTTTTTGTTTTTTCCAGGGGTGTATTATCGTAAAAAAAAAGTAACAATACCGACTCCGACTCCAGTTGTTGAAATTTTTTAAGTGCAACTCCGACTCCGACTCCAACTCCGACTACAAAGCAAAATTTTTGAAAAATTCTTTGAATTCTTTCAAAAAAATTACGCGATAAGTTAATAATTTCTTTTTTGACAAATTTATGAAACGTTCTTTGAGGTTTAGTATGAACATAAGATTAATTGAATGTTTTGTACATGCACGTGCAATACCTAGAAGTTTTACATTGGAGTTGGAGTCGCGATTTTGTTAAGCGACTCCGACTCCGCTAAAAATGTCGCGACTCCGCAACTCCGACTCCGACTCCGCAGCCCTAGTTTTTTCTTTTATTATTGAAAATAAATTTTAGAATTTATTATCTTCATAATTTTATTTATTCATTTTTTTTTTTTTTTTTTTTTTTCGTTTTTTAATTTGACAAAATTTTAATGACAAGATTTGATGGCTATATTATTTAAGGATTATTGGTGATATGACTATTTTGTCTTTTTTTCTCTTTTTTCTGTTTTAATAAAACATAAGAATTTTACAACTTCGTGCATCATAACAAAAAAAATGTAAGTAAAAACAGATAGGGGCTCAAAGAAGATGAGGATGACAGTACGTCATGGCAATCTTTTCATAGAGCCCCTTTAACAAAAATTCAACAAAATATCGTAATTCATAATACCAAATAAAGTTTCGTAAAATATATACGTAATAAAATTTCAATTAAATATTGTAATATAATACGTAATTCGCTAATAAGATTGTTAAACAACAACAACAACAACAAAAGTAGAGTGGTAACATTTACCAAAAACGTTTCTCAAATTTTAAAAATTTCTTTTTTTGTTTTAAACTTGAATAAACTTAACAAATTTAACGTACCTTTGAATCCTTTTTGAAAGGTATTCCATATTTTAGGACCTCGATATAAAATGCTATATTCTGAATATTTATTTATTATCCGAGGCAGTTTATATGTGTTTAACATATTTGCTCTAAGATTATAGTTTTCATTTTTATTTAATTCAAACTTGTTATTAAAACTTATAGGAGAGATATTGTAATTGTAACCATACATGAAAATTAATTGCTGATAGACATTTATTTCAAACACATTCATCATTTTTATATCACTCATTAAGGGTTTAGCGTGTTCACGCCTATCCTTATAGTAAATGATTCTGCAAGCATGTTTTTGCAAACTATACAGTTTTTTAAGCTTTGATGTTTGACTACTTGCCCATGAAATGTTTGTATAGCTGATGAAGCTATGTATTAACACAAATAGCATTAAAGTATTTTTAAACTATATAACTATATAGTTTAAAAATACTTAAAACAATATTAGAAAAAAAAAACTATATTCGTTTGCTTACTCGTTTACGCCTGTCAAATTAACATCCGTGTCGCGGGTGCTTTCTCGAAATTCATGAACAATAAGTTTGTTATAAACAACTTTTGCGTAATAGCCATTTTGAAGATGTATCTCTGCTTTATCAAAAAGTTCTTTTTGAATTTTTCGCGTTGTAAAACTAAAATTTTCGTTTAGTTCGTTGGTTTTAATTTTATTGCTCTTTCCATGATTGTTTTTTTTATCCTCGTAATCACGTAGTTTTAAGACAATTGTTCGCTCTTGTTTTTCCTTAGCTATTCCCACTCGATAAGCCCGTTCACATATTTTGAAACCCTATACAGGCTCAGATTTAGCAGAGATATGCGCAATCTGATTGGCTAATTTTAAAAGAAAGAGTTTAGCGCGTATGTTAAAATCAAAACATATGTCAAAAAGCTTACTGAATAATTGAAATGAAATTAAATAATCGCATAAAAAATCAGATGATAATAACAAAAAATTTATGATTTTTCTATCAAATTTTGTACAATATAGTACTTATACTTTTACAAAACTTTGAAACTCAAAACATCCTTGATTTTTATAATTTCTTTTTTAAAACAAAGAATTAACAAAGTAGTTTGTTTCATAACAGCTACATAATTTACTTGGTAATATCAATAGAATATTAATAACTTAGTATGATTTTTTTCACATTTGTCCAAGCGAGAAAAATATTTTTAAAAATTTGGTGCGGTTTGTTGGTGCGGCGCGGGGCCCCCTGCGATAGCCGCAGCAGGGGGTGCGCCAGTGCGGCGCCTGGACTGGGGGGGGGGGTCAGGTTGATCCTCTTTTAGGAGAGAAGAAAACCGAAAAGTTTTTTTGATTCCCTTGTTTTTTAATGGGTTGAATGGTTTATAAAAGGTAATTCATTAAAAGTATGATGACTAGGTGGACAATTTAATGATCACTCTAAAGTATTTATTTTTTCTACATCTAAGTTATTTCAAGAAATAAATTTTTCTTCTGAATAGAAAGCATCAAAAATTACATAAATAAATCATACTACTCCTATTATAGAAATAATAGAGCCTAAAGAGCTAATAGCATTTCAAGTAAATAAGCTATCTGGAAAGTCTGCATATCTTCTAGGCATTCCTGCTAATCCTAAGAAATGCTGAGGGAAAAAAGTTAATTCATATTTAATAGAATACAAAAAACAAAAAAGATACATGTAATTAAAATATAAGAATAAATAGAGTTTAAATAAATTTTACTAGACTTATTAGAAATTATACCTATAGTTTTATTAAAATAAAATGGTCCTAAACTTTCTAAAATTTGATTGTCTATAAATTTATAAGTAATTTTATATCCTAAAGGACTTATTCTTTTAGAGAGAATATAATTAATTAGTATGTCAAAATATCAATTATTAATTAAGAATAAATAAATATTTTTATAATAAGTTGTAAAGATAACATTTCAAGTTTTATTTAGGTTATTAAATATTATTATAGCTGTAATAATTCCTAGTATACTAAGAAAAAAAGGTAATAATTTATTAATATTGTAAATCATATTAGGAAAATTATCTTTTATAATTATAAATTGGAACATATATCCAGAAAAAATAGAAAACAATGTTAATAAACTTAATGAAATAATAATTTTATAATCGCTCTCATGAATATTTTTAAAATTATTTATACTTTGTTGTGGATTATTAATAAAAGTAAAATAAATTAATCTTAAAGAATAAAAGGCTGTGATAAATACAGCACTAATACTAATTCAAACAGAAAAAGATAAGAAATTTGAAAATAATGCTACTTCGACAATTAAATCTTTAGAATAAAATCCTGATAAAAATGGTAATCCTAATAGTGCTATAGATCCTATAATTATAAAAATGAATATTAAAGGTAAAAAGTTTTTTAAAGCACCATACTTTCTCATATCTTGTTCATCATTTATAGCATGAATTATAGATCCTGCGCTGAGAAATAGTAATGCTTTAAAAAACCCATGGTTTATTAGATGAAATAAACTTAAATCATAAAAAGAAAATCCACAGATCATAATCATATAACCTAATTGACTACAAGTAGAATATGCTATTACTTTTTTTAAATCGTTTTGGACCATTCCTATAGTTGCTGAAAAAAAAGAAGTCAAACTTCCTATAATAATTATTAAAATTAATATAGTAGATGAAAGTTCAAATATAGGTGACATTCTAATAATTAAAAATACTCCAGCTGTAACCATTGTAGCTGCATGGATTAATGCTGAAACTGGAGTAGGACCTTCCATTGCATCAGGTAATCACATGTGAAATCCTAATTGAGCAGATTTTCCTATTACACCTATTAATACAAAAAATAATGGTATATAGAGTGTATAAAAATTATTAGTAATGGAGATTAAAAATATATCGTTAAATTCAAAAGATCCAGTAAATATTCATAAATATATTATTCCGATTAATAATCCTATATCTCCTAATTTATTTATAATCATTGCTTTTATTGCTGATTTATTAGCCTGAATTCTGGTATATCAAAAATTAATTAATAAATATGAACATAATCCAACCCCTTCTCATCCTATAAAAAGTTGAATCAAATTGGAACTTGATATTAATATTATCATAAAAAAGGTAAATAAGGATAAATAAGATATAAATCTTGGTAAATGGGGGTCGTTTTCCATATAAGAATAAGAAAATAGATGAACAAAAAATGAAACAGTAATTACTAAAACTAGCATATTTGTAGTAATTAAATCAAATTTTAAATTAAATGAGTTGCTTAATAAACCTAAATTAAATCAGTCTAATAATATATAATATAAAAAAGTATTATTAAAATTAATCTCATAAAAAATAATTCAAGAATTAATAAGTGTAATTATAATAAGAGAAAAAGAAATCAGTTTAACTCCTTTATTACCAAAAAATCTACCAAAAAATCCGCATAATAAACTATTAAATAAAGGTAAAAGAATTATAGTTAAGATCATTCTATAAATTTAATAGATAAGTTATTAAAGAAATAAAAAATTTAGGATTTAATAAATAAAATAGTGTGTAATATAATATAAAACCTAAATAAATAAAATTTAAGTATAAATTATTTTTGTTTAAAGAAATAATATTATTTCAAGAAACATAAAAATTATTATTTTGAAATAAAAGTATTTTTATTATTCTTAAATAAAATCCTACACCTATACAAGTAATTAGTAGACATAAACATCCTATTATAATATAATTATAATTTATTAAAGTTGAAATAAGAATAAATTTACTTAAAAACCCTAAAAGTGGAGGAATTCCTGCTATAGAAAAGGTTATAATAATTAGAGCAATTGTTAAAATTTTATTATTCATAAAATAGCCGCTTAGTTCTATAATAAATTCTATATTATCTTTATATAATATTAATATCATAATTATAAATAAATTTGTAAATAAATAAATGAAAAGATATAATAAACAAATTTCAATACCTATTATATTATTTAAGCTTAAGGATATGATAATAAATCCAAAATTAGAAATACCACTATAAGCTATTAATCTTTTTATTTTAGTTTGATTAAACCCAGCAATAGTTCCTATAACAATTGATAATCCACCTAAGAACATAAGCATTTCAAAATTATTGTTAAATTTTAATAATATAATAAATATAGATAATTTACATAAGGAAGATAATAATAATATTAGTACAAAATCAGATCCTTCATAAATATCAGCAATTCAATAATGGAATGGGGCTAGACCTAGTTTAAATAAAAGGGATAATATTAATATAGAATTACTAAAAGAATAAAAAAAAGATGAATTATTTAAAACAAAGTTAAACAAATTTAAATCTAATGAAATTGAAGTTTTAAATAAATAGACAAGACCTAAAAGAAAAAATCCAGATGAAATACTACTTAAAATAAAATACTTTAGACTTGCTTCTAAGCTTTTTATATTATTTCTATTAGAACCTATTAGAACTAATAATGAAAAAGTTTGTATTTCTACAGATAAATATAATATAATTAAATTGTTAGATAATATTATTATCATTATTGACAATAAAATAAAGCTATATAAAATTAAGTTTTCTAATTTTAAATGTAAGTTATTTAAAATAATGATAAATATTATCATACTAATTCACAAGAAAGAATCTGTTTTAAAAAATTGTGTAATTATAATAAATAGTAATATTGATGGAATCAAATAGAAAAAACTATGTTTATTTAAATATAAATTTAATATAATAAAAACTACAAATGTAAATATTAATAAATTATTGTAATTAAAAATCATGAAAATTATTACAGTTAAAGAATCGAACTTTAATTATACCAATCTGAACAAGTTAAGAACCTCATCAATAAATATATATATATAAAAATAATCAAACAACATCAACAAAGTGTCAATATCATGATGCAGCTTCAAAAGTAAAATGACGAGAATTAGTAAAAAGAGAAAAATAAATTTTAAGTAAACATACTGATAAAAATATAGTACCAATAATAACATGAATTCCATGAAATCCTGTAGCTACAAAAAAGATAGAACCATATACAGAATCAGATATGCAAAAATTAGATTCTAAGTATTCTAAAGCTTGTAGAAATGTAAATAATAATCCTAAAGTAATAGTAATTATTAAACTAATTAAACTTTGATTTCTATTTTTTTGTATTAAACTATGATGACATCAAGTGACACTTACTCCTGATGATAAAAGGATAATAGTATTTAATAGTGGTATAGAAAATGGATTTAAAGTTATTACTCCTAAAGGAGGTCAATTTATTCCTATTTCTACAGAGGGGGAAAGACTAGAATGAAAAAATGCTCAAAAAAAAGAAAAGAAGAATAATACTTCTGAAATTATAAATAATATAAAACCTAATTTTAGACCTGTTAAAACTAATTTAGTATGAACCCCTTCTAAACTAGATTCTACAAATATATCTGTAAATCATAAAATCATAAATAAAATTATTAAAATAAAACTTAACAATAAAGGATAGTAAAACCCTTTATGAAAATAAGCAACAGTAATTAATGTTAAATACAATACACCCATTGATATACAAAATGGTCAAGGATTAGGATTTACTAAATGAAAAGGATGATAATATTTTTCCATTAATGTAGAATTAAACTATCTTTTAGATAAATTAAACATAAAAGAGTAAAAACATAAGCTTGAATTACTAAGACACCTATTTCTAATATAATCATAAATATAATAATCATTAAAGGAAATAAATTAAAAAAAGAAGAAGAAAAACATATCATTTTAAATATAAAATCAGAGAGAATAGCTAATAAAATATGACCAGCTGTTAAATTAGCTGCTAAACGCATTCCTAAAGCTATAGGCCTAGAAATATGACTAGCTAGTTCTATAAATACTAATAAAGGAGAAAGACATAAAGGAGCCCCTGTTGGCATAAACATACTTAAATAAGAACTTTTAAAATTAAAAAATCCAAATACTATTATTGATAATCATATGAAAAATGATAATCCGAAAGTTAGTGAAATATGAGTAGTGGGTGGTAAAGTAAAAATAAAAAACCCTAGTAAATTAATTGATAAAAGATAAAAAAATAAAGTTGATAAAAATAATACATATATTTGGGAATTGTTTCCTAAATTTTCTTTTACAATTTGAAGAAAATGATTAATAATCATTTCAAAAAATAATTGAATTCTTGAAGGGATTATAAAAGTAAAATTTAAAGCTACAAAAATTATAAATATAGATAATATCAATATCAAATGAGAATCAAATAAGAACCCAAAAATTTTAATAATTAAAAAATGATCGAAATAGGAAGACATTATAATTTCAATATATTATATAATATAGAAAATTGTTTAAAATTATTATTAATTGATTCTGAACTATTTAAAATAAAATTATTTCTTATGTTTAAAACTAAAAAAAAATTATAAAATCTTAAACTTATTAAAGTTATTAATAAAAAAAATAATAATAGTAAAACAAAATAGTGATTTAGATATAAAGATAAATCTAATTGAGACATTTTAAGTTTTATTAATAGATCAGTTTATAAATTTTTCTTGAGAAACGGAATAAATTGAAATAGGCATAAAAGAATGATTAAGACCACATAATTCTGAGCATTGACCAAAAAATTTACCAGGTCTATTAATAATAAAATTTAATTGATTTAAACGACCTGGAATAGCATCTACTTTTACGCCTAAAGAAGGTACTGTTCAACAATGAATAACATCAGCACTTGAAACAATTAATTTAATTTTTGTATTAACTGGTAAAACAAGATCATTATCAGTTTCAAGTAATCTAAAATCACCTTGGTTCAAATCTGTAGTAGGAATCATATAAGAATCAAATTCTATATTTGGTGAAAAGTTAGAATATTCATAAGACCAGTATCATTGATGACCAACTATTTTTACAGTTAAAGAAGGTTCAACATTTTCATCAATAGAATATAATAAAAATAGAGAAGGGATAGCTATAATTATTAATATAATAGCAGGTATTAATGTTCATACAATTTCAATAAAATTGTTTTCTAGTAAAAATTTGTTTTAATTTTTATTAATAATTATTGAAAATAATAGCCATCCTACTAATACAAGAATAATTATCATGTAGAACATTGTATTATCATGAAAAAATATTAAATTATTACTACAAGATGAAGCACTTTCTTGGAAAGAAAGTTGATTTATTTCGGGAATATCTTTATAGATAAAATTATTAAATAATAAACAAGTGAAAAAACTTATTAGAAATATTAAATTTTTCATAAACAGAGGGTATTGGATTCGAACCAATACTAATAATTTTGAAGACTATTTGATCTACTTAATCAACCCTCTTTATTAAATAATTACTTTAAATTTTTAGATTCTTTCAAAATTTTTTTATTAGTTTTTTTAATTAACTAAGTGAAACTTTATTCCTTTCGTACTAAAAGTCTAAAGTAATTTTATAATTGTAGATAGAAACCTTCCTGTCTTGCGACGGAATGAACTCAAATCATGTAAGATTTTAAAGGTCGAACAGACCTACCCTCAATAACTACTGCATTATTAGGATATCTTAATTCAACATAGAGGTGACAAACCTTGTTTTTGATAAGGACTCTAAAACAAAATTATCCTGTTATCCCTAAGGTAGCTTTTATCAATTAATCGTTATTTATTATTTATTATAATAACGGGTCATTATAGCCTACTATAGTAATTGTTAAATTGTTTAATTATACAATAAATAAATTTATTATATTGCTTATTTTTGTTATTTTTAAAAAACAGTCGCCCCAACTAAACTACCAAACTTTCTAGTTTTAATAATTTTTTATTATTTTTAAGAAAAAAGTTTATAGTAAAGCTCTATAGGGTCTCTTCGTCTTACAATTTTAAATAGCATCTTAACTATTATTTCAATTTTAAAAAATTTTTTTTAAGACAGTGAAAAATTCGTGTAACCATTCATTCTCTCCATCAATTAAATGACAACTAATTATGCTACTTTATTACAGTCAGAGTTACTGCATCCATTTAATATTATTTAAATTAGGTTATAATTATTTTTATATCATTGGGCAGGTTTCACCTTCAATATTTTAGAGGGCTATGTTTTTGGTAAACAGTCGATATTTTATTTTGCCGAGTTCCTTAAAAAAAAATTAATTTATTATTTATCCTAACTTGATTTAGATTTTTACAAAATATAAATTAAAATTTTCTTGAAAAGATTTTTAATATATTCCTTATAAATTGAGAAATTGTATTACCTTAATCAATTTATTAAATTAAGAAAAAAATAGGATAAATTTAATTTTACTCATGCTTATATTATTACTCTTTTAAAATTTTCATAATATATTAAAAGAAATTTCATTACTATTTTCCACAAAAATGATAATGATTAACTATATTGTAAAGTTATAATTTTTTTAAAGTAAAGTTTTACGTAATTTTTAAAATATAGCTGATTCTAAGCTTATTTACTTTTTGTTTAAATCATAAACTTATTTCTAAATGTTTATAGAGTTCATTGATGTTGGATATATATTGTTTTTTACTCGTTAAATAATCTTTGCATTAAATAACTGCTTTTTTTAAAAAAAAATTACTTATATAAATTTCATGAAAAACCAGCTATCTCTTAACTCGATTAGTTTTTCACTGCCAATTGCAAATTATCCAAAAATTTTTATCATTTATTGGTTCATTCTGAAAATTATTCACAATTAGATCGTTAAGTTTCGGGAATAATTAACTTTATAAATTATTTAGCCTTATAGCTTGCTAATTATTATTTTATAAGCCCATTATACAAAAGGTAAATGATTTTCATTTTTTATTATAAATTATTTATTAATTTCCTTCACAGTACTAATTCTATAGATATAATCAATTATTTAATTTTGTAAATCCAAAGAAAAAATTATGATTTCAATCGCCTTTACTTTCACAATATTATTTTATAATTACTAAGATGTTTCAGTTCATTTTAAATTTAATCATTTATGAAAAGATTATAATAATATTAATTAATATTATTCTTATTGATTATTCTATTTTTATAATTTAAAAATTTAATTCAAAAATAAAGAGAAAGGAATCGAACCCTTATATTCTGGTCATGAGCCAAATAACTTTCCATTAGTTTACTCTTCTTCTTTTAGAAGATCAAATAATTAAAATTCTTAAAAATTTTCCTAGTCATCATACTTTTAATGAATTACCTTTTATAAACCATTAAACCCATTAAAAAACAAGGGAATCAAAAAAACTTTTCGGTTTTCTTCTCTCCTAAAAGAGGATCAACCTGCCCCCCCCCCCCCATAAAATACCTGACCCCCCCCCCCCAATATAATTAATATTATTATAATCTTTTCATAAACGATTAAATTTAAAATGAACTGAAACATCTTATATATATATATATATATATATATATATATATATATATATATATATATATATATATATATATTTGTTAAAATATATATATATTTCTTTATATATATATATATATATATATATATATATATATATATATATATATATATATATATATATATATATATATATATATATATATATATATATATATATATATATATATGTATATATATATATATATACTTCTTTATATATATATATATATATATATATATATATATATATATATATATATATATATATATTTTGATATAGTAAATTTATTACCTGATGGACTGACTCTTAACGTACGACATGGTAGAAAAAAGAAAAATTGCTCACATGCAAATTTACATTTAATACTTCAACAGTTTATTAGGCAGGTCCGTTTTTAGGGGTCAGAAAAACTATAACTTTGCCACTTTATTTTCCCATTCTACGTTGATATACAAGACGATTCCAAAAAAAAAATTTAAAATGTTTCAATTTTCCTGACCTCCCTGAGGGTTTAAATATTTTAAAAAAAGCCATTTTTGACCAATTATTCGTTAAATTGCTTTTTTAATTGGATCAAGGACCAACAAAACTTATAAATTTTTTTTTGAATGAGCTGGGTCTACTATTAGGAAGGTTGGTACTAAATTTGAGCTCAAAATATTAAAAATTTCTCGAGATAACACATTTTGAAATATAACCCGGTTTCTTTTAAAGACCTGGTTTTTACTATGTTTTTAATTGTATATTTATCTAAATACTCTTAAATATTGATTAAAAAACTCAATAAAACTTGCATTCTAAAAGTTTGTTTAATAAGGAATCCAAATATTGCACTTAATAAAGATAAAAAATAAAAGTTGTTAAAAATGTATGAGACTTAGACTAAAGGTTTTACAAATACGTTTTGTAAATCCGTCAGGTCAGGAGTATGGTCTTCATGATCATCCTGCTACTGGTAACATGTAACCCAGTGCAACCTGTTCCATGTTCTGCTGCCTTGCAGGAGTTGCTATCTAAGCAAAGGCTGGAAGGAGTGTTCTTCCTGTCATCAGTACTATCTTATATCAGTCATGCCTACAGTAATTTTTTTTTTTTTTCCCAAATATAGTTGGAGGTGCCTTAGTTACTGTATTAGCTCACCTGTAATCTACGTTATATGTATGTTTGTGTTCTGTCTAAACCTCTGGCGCGGTGTTCGCTCACCCGTAAGTTACTTTATGTTCTTTATGTATGTCTGTGTTCTGTCTGAACCTCTGGCGCGGTGTTTGCTCACCCGTAAGTTACTTTATGTTTATGTTTATGTTTTTTATGTTTTTTTATGTATGTTTGTGTTCTGTCTGAACCTCTGGCGCGGTGTTCGCTCACCCGTAAGTTACTTTATGTTTTTTATGTATGTTTGTGTTCTGTCTGAACCTCTGGCGCGGTGTTGACTCACCCGTAAGTTGATTTATGTCGATGTTTGTTTGTGTTCTGTTCATACTCTAATGCAGCGTGAGCTCAGTAACTAACTACTTACTCCAACTACAAAACGTACTCTCACCTTAGACTCCTGTATTTTGTTAGATGCAGTGTTTTTCCTAATGCACTTCTGAAATGTCATGCCTGGTTTTCTCAAAGTACTGTTGCGGGAAGTAACTCCTTTTAACTACTCCAGGTCAGGTCAGGATAATCGAGATCAATCTTGCTACTGGTATCACGTAACCCAGTACCACCTGCCACAAGCCCTGCTGCCTTGCAGAGTGTGCTCTTCTTATGCAAAGGCTAGGAGAAATAAACTCCGACTAAAAATTCCCCTGCCTTGGGGCTCTTGGTTGAGTAAAGGCTAGAGATGGTGTCTCGATAAAAACACTTATCTTGGGCAGATGTTAACTGCATCCAGCTAAACATCCCCTGCCTTGGGGCTCTTGGTTGAGTAAAGGCTAGAGATGGTGTCTCGATAAAAATACTCAT